TTTACTATGTTCTCTAGGCAGGGCCCATGAGATTTTCTCTTTTTCTGCATGAGGTGAAAGGAGACCCCTTTGGTTGTTGGGCAGATCTCCCCTCTTCATGTTTACTTTCCTCCAGACTCCTTTTGAACTGGCTGATACAGATTGTGCAAAGGATCACTTACTTGTTAGTTAGCCTGTTGATTTCTGTCTTTGGCTATAGCCAAGACTTGTGTTCCCAAGTTTTCATTCTTTTTTTTTTTTTTTCCAAGTCTTCATTCTTTATGATGTATCAGTGGCCCTTTCCTGATTATGCTTTGTGTCCTTTTTTTGGGGGGGGTGTGTGGAGATAATTAGGTTTAATTATTAATTTTTTAGTGGAGGGACTGAGAATTGAACCTGGAAACTTGGGCATGCTAAGCATCCACTCTACTACTGAGCTATATCCTCTCCCTGCTGCTTTGTGTCTTTTTTACTAGTAAATCATAGCCATGATGATGACTATATAATGAGTGCTGTGAGTCCTCCTAGTGAATCTTTGAATGGTATTGAATTTGGGTAATATGCTGCTCTGGGCTGCAAGAGAATGATGTGTCTTCATTGTGGTAGTCCAATAGTATGGCATATTACAATTTTCCAATGTATCTGGAGTACATAATAAGAATATATAGCACTTATTAAGTATGTTATTTCCCTCTCAAAAAAGTCCAGTAAAAATATAATAGAAGTATTTATTACATTTTTTCAATACTTGCTGTGAGATTTGAAGTTTAGTCACCTGGCAATTTGTATGGTTATATAGTGCCATTATTAATAACAGGTGATGCACATGTTTTTCAGAAACTCCTGCATATGTTGAAACTCATAAGTTTATTTACCTGCTATATAATTTTTCTAGACCTCCATCAACACCTTGAGTTTTTCTAACTGCTTTCTTTTTTAGCATAAAGAGAGGGTCTTGGATGGAGTTTTCTTTTTTTCTCCCCCTCATTGTTTGCTTCCTTTTTTTTTTAGAATTGGAGAGTGGGAAAAGATAATGTCTGTCCCTTATTAAGTTGTCCATATTAGATTTACAGGCAACAATAAGGCCCTGTTTCTTTCAACTTGTCACTTTGAAATAATTTTATGCTCACATAGAAGTTGCAGTGTACCTCTTACTTACATACAACATATGAAAGCTCTTAATGGTAGTCCAAAGTTGTATAGCTTCTTTATATGAAAAGTAGTGTTTTTTGATAATTGATAAGTACAATTATCAAAACCATAAAATTGACATTGCTACAGTACTATAAACTAAAGGTCTTATTTTGATTTTATCAGGTTTTACATTAATACACATTTTTAAAAGAATATAGTTCTAAGAAATGAAATTTGTCCCATGAAACTACTGCCAAAGTTAGGTTACAGAACTTTTTCATCATCCCAAAGAAATTCCTTTGTGCTAACCCCTTAAAGTCACACCCTGGTAACGGCTGATCTGTTCTCCATCAGTAATTTTGTAATTTTGAAAATGGTATAGAATTGGAATTACTTAAAATGTGACCTTTTGGGATTGGGTTTTTTTTAACTTAGCATAGTGCCCTTGAGATCCACCTTAGTTGTTATTGCTTCATTTTTAAAAATTACTGAGTTTTACTTCATGGTATAGTTGTACCATAGTTTGTTTAACAAGTCATACATTGAAGGACATTTGGTTTTTTCCTTCAATGTAGGTTAAAAAAAACCCCAAACCTTAAAAACAGTACAAATCATAGCAATGGCTAACATTTACTGAGTGCTTATTATGTGTCAAGTATTGTGCTGATACTACTTTTTTTAAATTTAAAGTTTTCATTTTTTTATTTCTAATTATGGTAGAACATTTCTAAAATAAAAATCACCATCTTAGCTTTTTTTTTTTTTTGGTGCCTTTTTTTTTGGAGGGGACAGGTAATTAGGTTTTATTTATTTATTTTTTAATGGAGGTACTGAGGATTTAACCCAGGACCTTATGCATGGTAAGCACATACTCTACCACTGAGCTATACCCTCCCCTACATCTTAGTCATTTTTTAAGTGTACAGTTCAGTAATGTTGTACATTCATACTTTTGGGCAACCAATCTCCAAAACTCTTCATCTTGAAAAACTGAAACTCTAGGGTGAGAAGGGATAGACTGGAATTTCAAAATGTAGAATAGATAAACAAGATTATACTGTATAGCACAGGGAAATATATACAAGATCTTGTGGTAGCTCACAGCGAAAAAGAATGTGACAATGAATATATGTATGTTCATGTGTAACTGAAAAATTGTGCTCTACACTGGAATTTGACCCAACATTGTAAAATGACTATAACTCAATAAAAAAAAGTTAAAAAAAACACTAAAACTCTATACCCATTAAACAAAAACTTCCCATTTCCCTCTTACCCCAACCCTGCAAACAACCATTTTGCTCTCTGTGTATGACTTTGACTATTCTAGATACCTCATATAAGTGGAACCATGCAGTATTTGTCTTTGTTACTGGCTTATTTCACTTAGCATAATGTTCTGAAGGTTTATCCATGTTGTCACATGTGTTAGAGTTTGCTTCCTTTTTAAGGCTGATAATATTCCATAGTATAGATATAAAACACATTTTGTTTATCCACTCATCTGGCAATGGACACTTGGGTTGTTTCTACCTTTTAAAGGCTGTTGTGCATAATGCTGCTATGAGCATGGGTGTACAAATACCCTTCTGAGATATTTTCAAAAATACACTCCAAAGAATTGCAAACAGAAGTGGATTTGCTATACCCAGAAGTGGAATTGCTAGATCATATGGTAATTTCTAAATTTAAAAAATTTTTTGGGGAATCATACTGTTTCCATAGCGGCCGCACCATTTTACATTCCCACCAACAGTGCACAAGGATTCCAGTTACTCCACATTGTTACTGACTTATTATTATTGTTGTTTTTGGTAGTAGCCATCCTAATGGGTGTATGGTGGTATCTAACTGTGGTTTTAATTTGCATTTTTCTAATAGTTAGTGATGTTGAGTATTGTTTCATATGCTTTTTGGCCGTTTGTTTATTTTATTTGGAAAAATATCTATTCAAGTCCTTGCCCATTTAAATTTTGTTGTTGTTGAGTTATACCAGTTCTTTATGTATTCTGTATCTTAACCCTTTATCAGATGTATGATTTGCAAATATTTTCTCCCATTTTATAGGTTGATTCTACTGTATTTTTGTTTAATCCTGACAACAGCATTCTTACCTTTATTTTGAAGAGAAGGAAGCCAAAGTATAGAGAGGTTCAGTAACTTTCAGGAACCTGCCCCTGGTTACATGGTTAGTATACGATGGAGCAGAGATTCTAACTTATACTGACTGCCTCCAGAGTCTGCATTTTTCACCAGCACATTATTGTCAACTAATTTCTTGGCCAACTTTATGGAAACAAGTGGCCTTGGTTTCTGTGATTAGCCTGTGTGGAAGGCCCACTTTAAGAAGCAGATTGATCTGCATATTTAAAAAGTACGATGATCCTCATTATTTGCATATTCCATATTTGTGAGTTTTCCCACCCACCAAAATTTATTTGTAACCCTGAAATCAGTATTCATGGTGCTTTTGAGTTCATTCATGGTCATGCACAGAGTGGCAAAAAATTTGAGTTACTTGATACACACATTCCCAGCTGATGTTAAACCCAGTGTCTCTGTCTTCTTGCCTTCTTGTTTTAGCTCTTATACTATAGACAAGGATTCTTTCATAATCTATTTAGTGACACGTTTTCCACATCTGTCTGGTTTGGGTTTTGTGTGTATGTGTGTGTGTGTGTGTGATTTTGCTGTTTAAAATGGTACCCCAAAATAATACTAAAGTGGTGTCTAATGTTCTTAAGTGCAAGAAGATTTTGATGTGCCTTATGGAGAAAATAGATGTAATAGATAAGCTTCCTTCAAATATGCATTATAGTATTGTTGTCTATTGAATTCAGTGTTATTGAATGGATAGTATATTAAATAAAGTACCTTTAAACAGAAACACACAAAACACAAAGTTATGTATTGACTGATGAAAATTTTGTGATTAGAGGCTTGCAGGACCCTAACCCTGTATTTCCCCTAGGAGCAATGCTTCAGTATTTGCTAATTCAACAGTTGCTACCTTATAGAACAGAGTTTCTTTGAATAAGAAGAATTGACTGCATATCCTGACTATCATTTAGATCATTGTAGCATGGAAGAAAGCCCCATTTATGTTAGATAAGTGAGCTCTCATAGACTCCCAGGGTATGTGATGTTTGTACTGTAATTCAAAAGATCCTACTGAGTTTCATATCCACCACCTCAGTAAGTCAGTGATATGGCTGGTATATCCTCATTTTAGATGAGGAATTAAAGCACAGAGAGGTTGTGTGGGTTGCCTGATACACAGGTAATTAGTGGTATAAAAAGACTTACAACCCAGTTTTCCTGGTTCTTTTTTGGTATGAATATCCCTCTTCCATCTTCCTTTCTACAATTAGAAAGGGGAAAGGGAGTGAATGTTTTTTGAGTGCCAGTAATGTATCCCCTCCAGTGTTAGTTGGTTGATGTATTTGGCCTCACTTGCTCTTCTCAGCAACTCATTGTGACAGGAGATGCTGCAGTCTTTCTAATGACCAAACTGCAGGGAAATTAGGTATTTTGTTAAGGAATTATGTGCTAACTAGTGCTGGTTTGAATCTTGATCTTCCAAAAAATACTTTTTCATTACTTTGTGTAGTTGTTTATTAAATGTCCCAGAAGAGAGAATTGGCCCAACATAAATGTGTAATTTCTCAGCTTGACTTTTCAGTGACATTGCAAAATATCTGATTAATGCTTCCACCCACTTGGATTTGTGGTTTCACGTATGTCCACAAAATACAAAATTTTAGAGCTGAATACAGTGTTTTTCCTCAAAGTTGTCCAGGTTTAGTTTGCTATGTATGCCTTAAGAATTAATTTGTAAATCATGGTGTGAAGTGGATTTTTATGGTAAATTAATGCTTTCTTTTTAGAGTGAAAGAAAATGTCTTTATTTAAAGCCCGTGATTGGTGGTCTGCTGTTCTGGGAGAAAAAGAAGAATTTGATCAAGGCTGTTTGTGTTTGGCTGATGTTGACAATACTGGAAATGGACAAGGTAAACAACTTACGACCTTTCCTCTTGGAGCAAAGCTTTATAGGGATGAAATAAAAACAACTTCTTTTTTAAATGTGTATTTTATAGAACTTAGGTGAACTGTCACAGTTATGCCCTAGTTTTGAAGGTAGTTTTTCTTATAATTAGTATTTAGGTAGCAGGCTGATAAATATAGTTCTGTTTTGTTGTTTGTGTTTATCTGGTTTGTGTTGATTCTGTCATATTTACTTCAACTCAGAAGAATATTATAAGGCATCATTTAGTTTGTTTTCATTTTTTCAAAATTAGATTTCGTAGGATAGAACTAGTAAAATATTTTGAAGTTTGAAAATTTTTTTGTAGAAATTATTTGCAAGAGAAGTTATATTCTTTTGAAATTGAATCTAAGAAGCTGCTTACCAAAATGGAGAAATTATGCTGGCTCTGTTTGTTTATAGAAAACAATTGTTGAATCATTGCTTTCATTTTTATATTTTGATACTAGATACAGCATTCTATTTTATTCTTATAGTATTTGCTCTTCTTTGCATTTTCATGTATTAAGTGGTCTATAAAACATTTTTGTTCTGTATAATTGCTATTTGAAATTTGTGTTTGGTTTTAACAATTTATAATTCTGAGCTTTTTTGGTAACTCAGATAGTCACTGGTCTTTTAAAAAGAGAACTTATTATAACTTTTTTTTGTTCATTGTATATAAATATTGTCCCTTTACATTTTTATTTATTCTATTTCTCTTGCCTATAATGAAAACATTGGAATTTGGGGAACAAGGTGAAAGGAGAAAATTATATTGGCAAAGAAGAGTGGGAGGCACTAACCTCTTCTGAGCACCTACTGAACTGTTTCTAAGGAAAATCTGGGCCCTGCCTTCCTACCGATAGGAGATGGGTAGGCCTAGTCAGAGGGTGTCCTGAGCAGTTCAAAGATTATCAGCATAAAAGAGTCATACCACAGAAATACCTGCCAGAGAGAAACAATTTCAAACCCACCTCTGCCAAAACTATTTAAAGCTCAACTTGATTGGAAATTATACTTACCGGTTATTTGAATAAAATATACTGTTCACTTACCATTTCTATTAGAGGTCCTCCCTGGGGTGCCACCAGTAGGTTACCAACATGCTGAGATGTTGCTTCTCCCCAGTTTGCAGCCATCTGTGAGCAGCTTCCTCTGTCTTCTCAAGCATGCTATACAAAAATTGTTCTTTATGTGTATGTTCCACGTAGGAAAAAAAAAAACACTGATCGTTATTTCTCAAAGCCTGGACCACCTGTATCATAATATCCTGAGGTGATTATTATATATGAAGATTTTCTATCTCAGATGTTTAAGATCCTCTAAGATCATATTCTTTAGGGTGGGTTAAATGGGGGCTGAGGTATCTGCATTTTTGACAAGTTCCAAAGTTGAATGATGGCACACTAAAATTTAAGAGTTATTACTGTTGGAAGGGGAAGTATAGTTCACTGGTAGAGTGCCTGCCTAGCATGCACATGGTCCTGGGTTCAATCCCCAGTACCTCCATTAATACACACACACATAAAATAAAATAAAATAACAAAAAATAAAATTAATAAAATAAATAATAATAAAATGAACAAAACAAAATAAAAAAAGAGTTATTACTGTTGATATTATGGAGTGGAAGGTTAGTGAGAGCAGTTTTGGACATGTTCTGCTTGAGATAGAAATGACTGGTAGGCAGAATTCAGGTAGAGATTTGGGATTGAGCAGTGTGCTGGTTGTGTTTGAAGCTCTGGAAATGGGTGAAAGTGCACAGGGAGAGAAGATGAAATAAGAGGGAAGGAATCTTAGGACCATAACCTGGAGAATATGAGCATTAAGGGAGGAGTTTTTGGGAAGGTAGTCAGTAATAGATTCTGAGAAGGGCAGGCAGAGAGGCAGTTGAGCTGGTACCTGGAAGGCAAGATTTAGTGACATGAAGACTGGTAAGTTTCCATACCATTTTGCAGCAAGTGATTCATTAATGTCCTTGGTGAGGGTGGATGAGTGGACACAATGGTAACCAAATCTAGATTTGCAGAGTATAGGAGTGAGAGTTGGGGAAGACTGAATGTTTACGGCCCTTTAAACAAACAGCTGTAAAGGGAAGAGGGGAGGATGATTGCTGGGGACAATGTAGGGTAAAGAGAATTGGGAAAAATTTAGTGTGTCATGTAGGGGATATAATTGATAGGGCAGGGAGAGATCCAGAGAAGACAGTCAGAGATGGGATCAGGTCAGATGGAAGGGTTAACCTTAAACAGGTGTGAGAATTTTTTTTCACTGTGACAGAAGGCAAGAAGGTAAGAATGGATATACATGAAGAGAAGTTTGCAGGTCAGGGTAAAAATTTGAGACAATAATGCAGTTGAGCTTACTTTCTTTGAGGTGATCAGAGAGTAAAAGGGTGATATTAGGCACTTTAAAATTTCTTTAGGTGAAGCTGACTTGATTCATAAAAGAAGGATTCCTTGTTAATTTTGAGAGGATCTGAATGGTCCAGCTTAGATTACATGCCAACCCATGGCCTGGAGGGAGAGTTTATTACAAGAATTAAGGTAAAAAACATAGAAGGCAGACTAAAAAATAGTTACAACATTTATCTTTCAGCTTCTCAGCATTTATACCTCACATGGGGCAACTATCCCTTGTACAACATCAATTGCACATATTATTTCCCATCTGCAATGGGAGATAACTGCTTCAGAAGCACTTTCAGGGAGCCCTGGATCTTCAAGTCCAGGATCTCTGAGCTGTATCCTTTTCACTTCTTCATTCAGTCATGATCATGTCCCAGTGTTCTGTTCCCTCTAGAATAATTGGTATGTACAATCCATGTTCACAACCTATTATAATAGATGAGGAAAAGAAGAAGACAAGGAAAAAATTTAAAAATTAAAATGAAGTAGAAAAAATTATATGGTACCTTGAAGAAGTCATGTTGAGAGCTACTGCTTTCTGTTTTACAACTTGGTCACCTGGCTGTGTGACTGTGCTGTTCTTTTTTTTTTCTTTTCTTTGACTAGCCTTCTGTTTGGTTAGATCTCTTGGTCTTGAGTGGAGATGAAGCAACCAGAGAAGTGGTCTAGGCCTTCACTCCTGAGGGATCTAGAACACTGATGCTTTCCCGAAAAGGATTATAGTAGTTGCATTTACCCCTGATCCAGACAGTACAGGGAAGGGCCCTTGGGGACCCCTGGGTTTCACCCATATTTCTTTCAGCCCCATTCAGTCCTTATGAGATGATGAGGTAGTCCTGCTTCCTGCAGATAGGATTGTGGTAGTACATGTAAAGGTATACTTCTGCTCCTGTCAGGTGAAAGCAAACTATTTCCATTGGTCTCTGGGTATTGGAAAGGAGAGAGTGAATTACCAAGATTTAGAATTGTACTCCAGCAGAAGGCATGTATTAGTTGGCTCCAAGAAAAAACAATTTGTGGAATAACAGAATTTAGAGTTACCTTTTAAGTTATACTGATCAACCCTAACTCTGTAAGACCCACCAGACTTTAATATTGGCAAATCTGGTTATTAAACAGGGCTGTGATTGAATTACCACGCATACATATTTAAGTGTTTTGGCATTGAATTTTGGAAACCACCCCAAATCAGGCCTAGGAGTGATATTGATTTTGATTTTCTCCCTGGGTGGGGAGATGGAGTTCCATTGGCTTCCCTATAGTCCTTCCAATATAATATACCTCAATGTACCTGTCAGAGAACCAAATGGGTATTCTACCATTTTCTTAGGAAATACACTTCCTTTAAACTCTCAGATACTGGGTGAGAAATCATAGGTTGGTTTTGCTCTCCCACTGGGTAAACTAAGTTAAAAAGTTCATTTATCACTGGGTCTCCATAATTGGCAATAACAGTATCTTTCCGGGCTTCCAGAATTAGTAGTAATTTAGAGAATATTCAGTGTTCTCATGAAGTCTGGGTATTTACCTTTCCTCAATACACCTGGATAAATGACTGCTCATCCTATAGAGAAGGATCTGAGGAAAATTCATATGTGGCATGTGTGGTGTTACAGCAGTCTATACACAGTCTTGTCTTTGTTCAAGTGACTCTGAGTCTGTAAACTGACTTAAATGTGGGGATGCATAAGATGCCATGACTGTCTAATATGGAGGCTTGAGTTAGTTCTTCTTTTTTCATAGACCTGGAATATTTTTGGTTATAGACTTCAGAAAAGGCCTTAATTTGATAAACACATTATAGTACATTCTTACAATTAAATACTACTAATAATAAAAAAAAGTAAATGAACCACTGGGAAAAAAGAGCCTTAATGAGTTGCCTGTTGGTTCCATTCCTGGTGATCCTATATTATTTAATCACAGCTTGAAATCTGTGAGAGTTAGTTTGTTACCTGAGATCTGGGTACTATAATAGTCCTACTGTCTATTGTAATAATGAAACACATTTAAATTCTAGGGGTTAAATTATCACTATGTGGACTTGGGCATCCCTGAGGATAGGGCTATGTTGAGCTGAGTCTTGGTAGTTTAGGGAGTGAAAATGGGGGTTGGGACATGACAGGATACATAGGAAGCCCAGTAGGAGTGTTTTAGAAGAGTTTGGAGGTTGAAGTCTTGTCCAAGTCATCTAGATTTTGCCAGTAACCCTTTTATAACAGTATGATCCCATTCTTTTTGATCAATGTCTTTATTTTTATGAAGGAAACCTGTAGACTCTGAACTCATTTGTTACTGTAATTTAAAACCTATAGAATTAATCCCTGAATTAGATTCTTAGCAGTTAAGTCCACTGCTAAAATAGGTAAGAAATTCTTTCTGTAGACTCCCAAAGACCCTGAGTTTTATTCTTTATCCTGAGATGAGAATTTTGAGATTTAAACCTGCCATTTTCTTATTTTAAACTATCCTCTGCCCTTAGAAAAAGTCATCTTACAGTGATTTGACATTCTTCCTTCCTATTGATTTGGGCTATAGAAGCATCTATTTAGTCTACTAGAGTGTTACTTGCAAAGGGCACAGGGTTCCAGATACCTGGAGGTGTTAACTTGATTAACCTCTCTGTTACTGTATACAATGCTATTTAACTGTAGCTAGAAAATGAACAGGAGTCATCACATTGTGCCCCAGCTCAGCTCGAGAACCAATTCCCAAATTGGGATTTACAGGAATTAGTGCCTGTAGTTTATTCCTTGGTGCCAATTTCTCTATCAACTAACATTTCATTTTATTTTATTCTTGCCACAGGTGACAGGAAACAATTATGATAAATGCAAATAAAAGAGAGATTGGAATGAGAGTAACATAGCTCTCCCAAATACAGGGAGAGTTAATTTGGCCAAGCCTTAGTTGGAGACAGGAACCAGATGGCTCCAGAGACCTGTAGACCTCCAGGGGGCTGCCATCAGATCACCTAGCATCAGATTTCTGATGACATGTGTGTCTCTGTTCAGGACTGAAAATCCTAGGATAGTACCTCTCTCATAGGGTTACTATAAGTGTTTAATGAGTTAATATATATAAGCTACTTAGACCATTCCCTGGCACATAATAAACTCTGAATAAATAAGTAAGTAGAACTCCTTCTTTCAGTAGATAGAAAAAAAGTCAATCTACTAATCCAGGGATATTAAACAGTCTAAAGTATTAGTTTCCTAGGATTGTGATAACGAAGTACCACAAATTGGTTAGCTTAAAACAACAGAAATTTATTTTCTTGCAGTTCTGGAGGCTAGAAGTCCAAAATCAAGGTGTTGGCAGGGCCATGTTACCGCTAAACCCTTTAGGATTCTTCTTTGCCTCTTTGTTTCTTTAGGATTCTTCTTTGCCTCTTTGTTTCTGATAGTCCCAGGCATTCTTTGGCTTGTAGATTTATCACTCAAATCCCTGCCTCCACTGTCATATGATCATCTCCTTGCTGTTCTGTGTCTTCACGTGGCATTTTCCTCTCCACCCCCATCTCAGTGGTCTCTTCTTATAAAGATACTGAGTCCTATCGCACACATAATCAAGTGACCTCATTTAACTTGATTATATCTTCAAAGATTCTATTGCCAAATGAAGTCACAGATACTCAAGGTTAGGACTTCAACCTATCTTTTTGAGGGGCACAGTTCAGCCCACAACATCTATCCTACCATTTCCCCCTCTTGTACCCAAGACTAGATAAATCAGAGTATTCTATCTAGTGAGGCCTCAGAATCCTTTTTAATACAGTATTTTTGACAGCCAGACCAGCTGTAGATTTGAAATTCTATGATGAAATCAGTTTACAACCTTACTCTAATCCTTTGTTACAAGGACTTGCTTTGGTTGAGTTAAATTATGGCTACTGATACCAAATCAAGGCTTAAAAAATTGATATGTTTAATATGTTGCTGATGTAAAGCTATTTTTGAAAAGCTATATGTTATTAAAATAAGTTCACTTTAGTTATATCATCTATTGGCAGATTGGGCTTTGTGTATGAAGCAAGACTAGATTCTTTTAATTTTCAGATTACTCTTTAGACATTTAAAATTTTATTTCCAAAAAATTTTGTTACTAACATGTTTCTTCCTCTATCTTAAAAAAATCTCTTTACAGATAAAATAATTGTGGGTAGCTTTATGGGATACCTAAGAATCTTTAACCCTCATCCTGTAAAAACAGGAGATGGAGCTCAGGCTGAAGATTTGCTTCTAGAAGTGCATCTACGAGATCCAATACTGCAAGTAGAAGTAGGAAAGTTTGTTTCGTAAGTACAGCTTACTCATTCTGATATTTTATCTTACTACTTGGAATATGTCAGTCCCTTACTATGTCACTTTTATGAATTCATCAAAGGAAAAAAGACTATCCATGAATTAAATATATTTTCTGGATATTGTCACCTAGGTGTTCCTCATGTACTGAACATTTTTTATATGGAAACCTGTAAATTTAAGAGAGAATAATTTAGGCCTTTTTTTTTTTATAGTAATAGACCTAAGATGTCTGATGTATCAGAAGCTTAAAGGAAAAGAGATAAGCTTTTGAAAATAACCAAATGAAGAAATAGAAAATGTTCACTTACTTAAAGCACTAATTATCCAGTTTATATAAATGTCTGTTTAAAAAATTAGACAATGTAGCAATTATGCTTTTTGGCACATAACTTTGAAGCTTTAAAATGAATTGCTTATCTAGGGTAAAGAGGTCCTTAGTTCTTAAAAGGAACCATTTCAACCCACAAGTAAGTCTTTGGTTCAAAGAACTTTACTTTTAACTTTATTTTATTTTATTTTTAAATTAAAAACATTTTAATTTAATTTATTTTAGAAGACTTATTTTGCATTTTGTTAAATGTGTCTTCTCTTTACTGATGATATTGCTGATATTATCTTATTTTCATTCATTCTCATGAATTCTCTTAAAATTAAACCTGTATTTCTTAATTATTAATGAAAGTGTCTATTGTGAACTGTTATGTAGGCAAAGGTGGACTTGTTTTCCCTGACTGTTCTTTTTGAGCCCCATTTGGCTTCCTTAAGTCTGGGAGTACCCTGAGCTCTGGATTTTGGCTCACTCCAGTTGTTCTTCATGATGTATTGGCCCCAGGTTCCACTTGTTCAGGGCACTGATTCTTACTAGAAAAACCTAAATGACAGCTCTTGATCTTCTTCCAGTGGTATGTTTTATTCTGATGGGAAGCTGCTTCATGGATGCTTATAGGCCAGGACTTGAAATGGGAGTTTTATGCACTGTGACAGGCTAGATCAGGGAGATTTTATGACTGATGTGGCTGGTAAATATCTACTACATCTAAAATTTGATGATGATTAGGTGCCCACTGTGTACCTAGCACATATTAAACATGATGGATTTATAAAGTAAGGAGACAAAAGCATTCTTGCCTCTAAAAAGCATTTTTGCCTTTTCATTTTTAAAAAAGTGGAATGCTGTCATAATCTTTCTATACAGTAGTATGGCTCTCATGTATATGATCACTTGTTGGAAGGGAGGAGGTTAACATTAATGAGTAGATTCTGTACTAGCATTAATTAACTAGTACTGTCTCATTAATCTTATCTATAGGATATGATCTTTATTTAGAAATAAGGACGCTAGATAGAGCTCAGAGCTTTAGGTCACACAACCTGGATTCTGTCTGACTCCATACTTTACTATATTTCCATGACATCATGTTCTTTTCCTACGCATGATGGAAAAATTGTTTTGAATGTTCAAGGTATATATAAAAAAATTTGAGGGCAATATTGATTATGTGATAGTTGTGTATATTTTCATTTTTTAGTAGTAGAGTGTGTTGGTGACTTTATTGTAACAATATTTTGCAGGTTATTATCTAATACAATTTTTACTTTATAAATGAGAAACCAACACTCTGAAAGATTAAATTATCATGGAAATATCAAAGTGCAGAGTCAAGACCTCAATCCAGGTCTGCAGACTTCAATTATAGTCCTTCTAATTTGGAAGAGTCTGTATCAGAGGTCATATACTGGAGGCCTGTTTGCAGATGTGTTTTAAATTTAAAAGAATTGAGAACAATTAAAAATGAAGACATTTCATATAAAATCCCTGCTTTCTGGCTTTTCTTGAAAAAATGTGGAGGTCTGGCCACAAGTCCAGAACTGAATCGTAGTCGCCTCATTTTGTCAGGCCCTAGCCTCCAGTTGATCACAACCATTTACACCCTTTATTCATTTATATACCCTTGAAGACTTTGAATTTAGGGTTTCTAGACTGTGCCATGTCTCTGGAAACCACTTGATAGGGGCTGGGAAGTGCAGTGATGATAGTGGCAGTTTATTTCTATTTGAGATTTAGTCCAAACTGAAATATATTCAATACCTTTAGTACAGTTTCAGAGCTGGACGTGATATATGCTATTTACCAATAACCATTACCATTCTGTGGTGCTTTATACTTTGCAAGATGCTTTCATATGATTTTATTACGTTTAATTGAAACCTCTTATTTTCCAAAAGGGGAAACAGGATTCTGTCTGACTCCAGAGAGAGTGACTTTCCCAAGGTCACAGGTTAATTATTCTGAGAGCCAGAACCAGAACTTGGATCTCTTTATTGTAGGAGAGCATTCGTGAAGGGGCCCCTGATATGACTCTTTTCTAGGAGGCTCTCGGCTTCAATCTGAAGGGAACTCCTTGAGGCAGAGACCTTGGGCCTCTGGGATTATCAGTCTGGCTGTTTGTTGTTACATTTATTTTTCACTTTAGAATTTTATCTAGTAAATTATTAGCTCACTCATGGTTGGCTGTGGTTACAATCTGTTTTTAAAATAATTTTTGGAGGGGAGGGTATAGCTCAGTGGTAGAACATGTGCTTGGCATGCATAAGGTCCTGGGTTCAATCCCCAGTACCTCCATTAAAAAAAAAAGGATAAACCTAATTACCCCCTAATAAATTAAAAAAATAGGATTTAAAAAATGAAATAATTTTGTAATTTTTTTGGCTACATCTGAAACTAATATTTAAAATTTTAATACTTTCCCCATTTTCCAGAGGTACTGAAATGCTTCATTTGGCTGTGTTGCATTCTAGAAAACTTTGCATCTACTCTGTCTCAGGTAAGAAACATTTTATTCTAAAGTAGAATTTGTATTAGAATCTGGACTTCTAAATCTTACATAAGAATAGTTAATATTGACTTGATAGAGAAAACAAAACATTCCGTTGAAGGTTTTTCCTATCTTGGTTAGCATTTTCCCATTGTTCATTTCTTCTTTTCATTATATTTTCTTGATCTGCTCTTTCCATGCATACTTAAATTTCTAGCATAGAGGGTTCCTTGAAATCTCCCTCCTCCAAGGAATTGTGTCCAGGATTGTCTATGACTAATAGAGGCTGATTCTGGGTACTTAGGACACTTGAGTGTTCTAACAGCAACAACAGAATTCATTAGATGCTGAGTCATGGTGGTTTAAAGTACATTTTCTTTGGTGAACCTCAAGTGTTCTTACAGTTCCAATTTCTTGGCTTTTGGTTGTGTTCACTCAATCAGATCTCAAGGCATTTACTTGAGACTATTTTTTTTAAACATTTTTTTATTGAGTTATAGTCATTTTACAATGTTGTGTCAAATTCCAGTGTAGAGCACAATTTTTCAGTTATACATGGACATACGTATATTCATTGTCACATTTTTTTTCGCTGTAAGCTACCACAGATCTTGCATATATCTCCTTG